GCTTAACATCCAAGAGAGACGGGGTTACCGCCGCCGAGGAGGAAGAGGGTACAGGGAGGGACAAAGCCCGGGGATCTGATTCCCTTGGACAAACTGAAGATCGAAAGCGCTTAGGACAACTCCAGGCATGGCCCAGAAACCACAGGGCTGAAACTGAAGTACAAGCTACGGTAGTCAGTATCGCCTCAATAATTCTTAACCGGGCACAACCCTCCAAAAATCAGCCCAACTCCCCTCCCCCTAGCTGCAATTTCTAGGAACAGTGTAAGGTCCCGTGGGACCTGCAGCGCCTCCAGACCTCGCTAAAACTCCTCGGGTGCAACTTGGTGCCCTCCTGATCCATCCTCATCCTTCGGGACACGCTCCCTCATCAATGAGGCAAGCCACAATCTTTGTTTTACCCTTTGTCCACACTGCTGACCTTTCATGTATCTCTGCAGGGTAAGGAGTCATCAGTGAGAGCAGCGCAATGGCACAAGGTCTGGGCATTCACAGGCCAGACGAGTTACATATACAAACTCCAGCATGTTAATTAGAACAAAGTAGGCTTGTGTCTTCCTTGTACTTATTTCTGACAACTCATTTTAAATTAACAATTTTCTAGTAGTATTTTATAATTAGAACAGATAATACTGAATATTAGCTTTAAGCATTGATCTGAAAATACTGTGGAAATAAAAGCCAATATTCTCATTTCCAGAAAACTATTAAATCCAGCATTTATTCACACTTCAACCCGAACAAACAAACAAACAAACAAAAGATTTAAACCTACTGTAAATCTATAAGGATGCAAAGAATACATATCTGCAGGTAGCAATGATTTAATATTTTATTGAACTGGTGGTGCTTTATGTGCTGTTTTTAGTAAATCAATGAAAAAAAAAATTGTACCTCGTGTGTTTATTTACCCTATAATCAAATTGCACGGTAGCAGTTTCATTCAGTCCCCTTAGTCAGGAAACTGACTTCATAATTAAGTTTTCTGCAATAAACTATTTTACACCAAAGTAAGTACATACACAAAGTATAATGTGAAAGTGGATTGAGGATGTTAATATATGCCGAATGCAGTGCCATATAAAGACAGTTCTAAAGGAGACTGCTTAGGTATTGTAAGTGATGTCTGTTAGCATATCCAGCACTAATACAGCTCTGTTGTTTTGGGTATAAATATCTTTATAGGGCATTGCAGTGCACCGTGCAAACATATTCCACAAGAAAAATGTATGTGCTGACAGCAAAAAAGGCTGTAACAAATGGGTCAGTAAAAAGCCCCCTGGCCATTAGAAGCTTCATGCTTCAAGCATGACCTCTACACATCCATCTTCTTTTCAGAAATCTGATTACATTTTCCCACCTCCAAGTCTTTAGAAAGAAACATGCCTAGCAAGTATCAGTGTATATTGAACTTTACTCGAAATAGCATTGCCAAATTTGCCCTCAAATATTTCAAACCTGTTGATCCCAGACCAGTAATGATGCAGAGTTGTCCGTTACTTAAGAAGTTTTGGCACAGTTAGAGTAGGAACTGTAATTTCTTTAAAAATTGGCACATAGTTTGGATTCGGTTGGCTTGGACCTTGATCCAAAGTCTCAATGATAGTCTGCTTCATATCTCTGCTGGCATCGCCTCTCACTGTCAGCAAAGCTGCAATATGGTCATCCCTGCCAAAGGGAAATGGTAAAACCAGCGCTAGTGGGAAACTTTGCACAAGTAAGATTTTGTCAGAAACATCACTTAGTTTCAGCATGTGCTTTAATTCTTAATCAGATCTCTAGTCACTCAGAATTAGCTTTTCCAGCTCAATATAAAGCACCATTTTGGCTGCTCTTTGGACTCTAAAACATTATCCTCCCAAAACACAAAATGGAAGTATTTTCATTATTCCTTTGCTGTACCACTGAGTACTTATTTACGTATCTACCTCCTAGTCCAGCTCACATTTTATATTAGCATTATTTTTCAAAAGAAAGTGGCTACATCCTAAAATATGAAAAATATGAACACATTGGTTTAAAATCTGCCCAAGACTACAAAGAAACTATGATGTTATCTATCTATCTATAACTTTGAGGGCAAAGAGAATTACCTGATATCTGGGTATTTACTGACTAAAGTTGAAACTTCCAGATAGAGCAGTGAAGGATCAGTTAGCTTGATAACCTCTGCAATGGCTTCAATGATGTCACAGAGTCCTTCAGTATCCTCTCCAGAGCCCTGCAAGATGAGAAGTAAAAAAAAAAAAAAAAAAAACCCCAAAAAAAAAAAAATCCCCAAAACAAAAGCAATCCCCCCCAATATCTATAAACCACCCTTTCATTAGTATTTTGTCTGACAATGGTCTTGAATTCCCCAAAGAAATTAATTTTCAGACATTAAGAAAACAAAATGTTTGTGAATTGTCACCATAAGCCTCT